CCCAACAGACTGCTGATTTCACTCCTTGTTTAGGATTCTTTATTCTTTTTAGGTAACTAAAATAATCTCAGCTGTAGTTTATTGAGAACAATGTGTCTGCAAGGCAGTTAATCGTGTGTTTGCGCAGAACTCAAAGAATCCAAAAAGATTTCAAACCCTAAAAACGCTAGAGCAAGGAATCATAATTCAAGAAGCCATAAGGGAATTGAAATGTGTGCTCACAGAATAACTATGGGAGAGGCAACGGGTAGGATCCATGGCTGGAAACTATAGACATAATGAGCCAGGGGAAATAAATACAACACAAACCACAGAAAATAACAGTTAGCACAATAAAACAGGAAAACACAACTGAACGAGTAACAAAAGTTAACTTAACATAGGAAAGAACAGGTGGACTCAAACTGGGAACTGGGAAGGCAAAGGACAAATGCAGACAAGCCTGGGACACTAAGGAAGGGAACAAATAAGAGATGACAAGACAAAGGATGTTAAACTCGATACGAAAGACCAGCGATCTAAGACAGGACGTAACTAAAAAGATGACAGACTCACATGTAAAATTACCAGAGAGATACAGAGACAACCACAGAACAGAGTAGGAACACCAAAAGAGAGCAAATAAACCAAAAGTCATAAGCAAACAAAGGACTGCAGGCACAAAAAAACCAAAACAAATAAGGAACCGATACCAGGCATCAGAAGATATCGCCAGGAAATACAAACACTATTAACAGAAAACAATGAACTTAAATTACTTCTCAAATTCCAGAAGAAATAATGAACTGACAGCAAACTCAAAGCCCTGGGTTCAAGACCCAGAGACCAGAACGATGACAAATACCATATACCATATTATAATAACTAAAAAGACCAAAAGAAAAAAACACTGAAACTAATAAAAAGAAAAGAAAACATTTCCAGATATTAGAAACTGAACTGAGTCCAGCAAGTAAAACGAGTAGACTAATAACTGCACCAAAGTGGTATCAAAGGAGTCAGCTCTAAAATAAAATAAACCAAATTGATCGAGTTTAATATATGAAACATGAGTCAAATAGTGGGCTACATAAAAATGTGTCACTTGTGTTAACAGCTGAGTTGGTGATGGTGGTGCAATAGTGTGGGATATATTTTCTTGGTCCACTTTGTGTTCTTTGGTACTGTGAGAATCATGTAAACACCACAGTCTACCTGAGCATTATTCCTAACCATGTCCGTCCCTTTATGACCACAGTGTATCCATCTACTGACCATATCATAAAGCTCATCACTGATGTGCAAACTCAACTGAGTGAAAGAATTAAGGCAGTCCTAAAGGCAAAAAGGGGGTCTAACTAGGTGCTGGCACTAGTACTAACACCAAAGGAGCGAGTGAGTGTAATCCAAATGAAAATGAAATTACAGCATTGAGAAAAGTGTGAAATTTGTTATCAAGCTCATGTGATACAACTGGAAACTCCAGCATAGGTAAAGTGAAACAGAGGAGATTATTTACTGAGCAAAATGCTTAATACTATATTTTTATTAACTTATGTATTTATGTAGGCGATATTGTAATTGATTTCCTGAGAACATTTTGAGGGGAACCACTGCGATTGGACACGGAAAAGCAGATAAAAAGTCTGTTTGTATCCAGACAAAAAAAGAGGAGCCAACACACTTTTCAGTAATGTTTATTAGTTTTTTTTCTTTTGAAGTCAGGTTCTTCAATCACAGAATCACAGGATTTGCAACTTCTTTTACCAGTCAAAACGCTCAATTACAAAAGATAACAAGATTATAAATGGTGCCCAGCTGAAAGTCAGATATCAGCTGTAATATGAAGTTTCAGTTTGCTCTTTGTCCTCTCAGGGACTTCCTCTCAGTCTCCATCTCCACCCGAGAAAAATAACAATACAAAACCATTCTTTGCACAGCGGTTGTTCATGCAACAATAAAATTCCATTTAACTCCAATTTAAAAACAATTAAAACTTTCATCACCTCACACATTGCACCAAAACCCGTTCATGCAACACATAACACCTGCTGAGAGGAGCGTTTTCTGAAAGGCTTCAAGCAAAACACATTAACAGATCTTCAGATCATCTGTATGGGCAATTCCAGCAGGCACATGAAGTCAGATGATACAAACATCAAGAGTTCTTCTTTTTCTGTGATGAGGCAGTGCTGACTTAAATTAAGAAGGACATTAACATAAAAGAAACTATCATATATATATATATATTACCTAGAAAATATAACTCTTATCTGTTTCATTATATTGCATAGACAAGTGATCCTTCATCACCCAGCAGTGCACCGCTGAGGGGTTACGTGCTACTACATTCATGTCACTTTCCCTCAGTTTCCCTGAAAATAAACTAGGTGACTTTATCCGTGAAGTAAACACAATTATTTGGTCCCTTATTCATCCTGATACTAGAGAAAACAAAACACCACAAGTAATGACAAACACAATTAAAAAATGATCAAAACAGACCAAAAAACAACATTATTGTTCAATAAAATGGTGGTGACCTCATCAGATGGGTAATTTTGGCGAAGGTGACTGGCTTCTATCGAGGGCAAGACTCATCTGAAAAATAGAGACGGAGATGGAAGGTAAATATGGTGAATCTAGGATCTTTATGTCATTTTAGTTTGTATTTTGAGGTATTCCCATTCACCAAAGGTAACATTTATAGCTTTGTGAGAGCCATAAATGCAATTTTACCTTTCCATTTGCTCTCTAGTATTTACAGTAGCATTGAATTTAAAAATCTTAACCATTTCTTTGTAATTTTTATTTGCAAAAGTTTCATTTTACCAAGCTTGCCCTCATTTCCAACCAGCTGCTGTTTACAAGATATTCAAATTTGGTCAGTTTGTACAGTTAAGGTATATTTTTATTTCCTATATTTTCTAACCTTCATTTAACCTCCTCTTCTGTTGGACTAACTACCCTTGCAGACAGTTCATATATTTAAAAAAAAAAAAAAAAAAGGAAAAAAACCCCCAACTAAACAAAAATGATATACTGCTAGGTTAGCAACCAAGCTAACAGATGCGCTGACTAGCAGCTAGTGTGCTAACTGCTAGTTTGCACAATAACTCCTAAAAACATTTTTCAATAACTCTAGGGAAATTATGTAAAATCCACAACAGTGACAGGAGAAATATACATGTCTCCAGTACAGAAGAATGACCTGCCAGCATTTATTAAATGTTTAGAAATGTATATTTTTAACGTTACTCTCCCTTTAGCAGCAAAGCTAGCAGCTAGCTAAATTGAAAAGCCTTTTTGCCCCTTCAGTAAATCTTATTTAATAATATTATGTAAATATTGGCGACAAAATGCTAAGGGTAGTAATTCAGCAAACATGGACGAACAATATTACAAGGAATGTGTATGTATGTTATTTTAATAGAACAATAACTTAGAGTGACCATATTTTGATTTCCAAAAAAGAGGACACTTGGCTACTCATGAAGAACTTGCTTAAAGAAATATATTTAACATATTTAAACGATGCCTTCTCTGTGTGGTTAATGAATTGTCAAAATAAAATATGTCATAGAGGCTTTTGCAAGTCAACAAGTGCAAAAAAATAACTTAAAAGCCTCTGGAATTAAATAATGGTACAGAAATAACACCTCATCTGCATAAGAAAAATTACCAGTACTGGGTCGGTACGAGGGAAATTTCTTTTGCAGTTCGTCTGAAAAGATGCACTTGCACTTTGGTATCTTTTAAACATCATTAGGCGCATTGCTGCGTGCCGTCTGTCCCGTCTGTGAGCGCAGAACAAGCGCTCACAAAGCAG